TCCAACTCTAAATTGTCAAAGTGTTAATAACAACTCCTTCACTTCCAAAACCAACCCCTTAAGTATGTTTGGTAATTGAAGAAAAGATTTCTCAGTACTAAAGCCAGTGACCTAATCAGTTAACCAAACTGGTAAGAAGAATATTGTTTTTTAATTTAGAAGGTGTTTGCAAAGTCTAAAATGAACTTTATGTAAAAGCAAATTTATTTAGGCTTAAAAAGCATTTTCTAGACTTAATAGATATGTTTATCACCTGTTTTTTTTCCCCCCTTATTTGAACTATGAAATTCCAACTTAGACCAGACCCATTAGATCATTTGCAAAATCCACAGATTTTCTTTTAAAGTCGTGTAAGAATTCATTGGAGAGGTGGCTAAGATTATACTCCCTTTGTCCGGTTATATTCCCTTTAATTGTTGTTTTTTCAAAGTTTTTTTTTTAATTAAAATTTTGATGAGAATATTTATATTTACTTAAAATATTTAAAAAAATTAAAAAAAATAATTTATGATATATTTAAAGTAAAAAAGACAAAGAGAGTAAAAATTAGGCCGCCCCTGTGTGTATGGCACCAAAAGAAACAAAACAAAGGTTTAGATTGGCAACATTGAATTGTAATTATAGTTGTAGATTTTTTTTTATCTTTTAATATTTTTTAAAAATATAAAACATATTTTATATATTTAATATTTATTTTAATTAATATTTTATATATTTTTAAAATAATAAAAAAAATATAAAAATTTAAAAATAAAGTATCAAAAAATGTCATTAAATGAAACTAAAATTAGGCTGCCGAGGAACTTTCTATATTCCGTTATTTACCGGAAATCTGTTTCTTTTTGGCTCAAGTTTCTCCAAATTCAGTATACGTGGTTGCGTGAAGAAGATGACCATTTTCGGAATTTCCGATCTTCAACCACAAGCAAACCATTCAGTTCCGGCCACCCATTAATACCAATCCCTTTGACCTTCCACCTTCGAGGACCCCATGATGTAATAACTCACCCCCAAACACACCTTTTCTCTGTACCCACTACTGGCCAGTATAAGTTGTGCAACTCTGCTTCTTCCCTCCCCTTAAATTATCCATTCTCAACTCCATCTTCACCATCCCTACCCAGAGTGGAGGAAGCACATGGGGCGCCGTGGAATGAGTCATTATGCTCATTGTGTTATCATTCTCTTTGGAATTTGTTTTTGTTCTGTTTCTCTCATATCTGCTGCTGCTGGCACAGTCCCCACAGACACCTCCACTTCCATTCTGATTCGGGTCGACCAGTTCGGTAATGGAGATTTCGAGAAGATACAGGATGCTATAGATGCTGTTCCTTCCAATAATTCTAAATTCGTTTTCATTAGGATTAAGCCTGGAACGTACAGGTTAAGTTGTGTACATTTTTAATTTCCAGATTTTCCCTATACATATAATTAACTCAGTTAAACTCTTGTTGATTCGTTCCGAGTATATTTTACTTTCCTTTCCTGATGAACTCAATATTAAGCAGAGAAAAGATTGTTGTGCCAGCGGATAAGCCGTTTGTGACATTGAGTGGTGCACGGGCCTCTAACACCATCATAACATGGAATGATGGCGGTGACATTTTTTATTCTCCAACTCTAACTGTTTTGGCTTCTGATTTTGTGGGACGGTTTCTCACAATTCAGGTATATGTCGGCTTTCGTTTTGGTTTTTGTCTGCTTTGGCTCGTGTATTTTATAGTTTGTTTGAGTTTTAGTTGGAAGAAAAGTTGTCCCCTATTTATACAAATAGGGGCAGACCACGAGGTCCTTAGGACAAAGTTACAAGGCCCACAAGTCACGATAAACAATGCCAACGTAATGTAAATCCTGACATCAACAGCTTTATGTGTTTCCGTACTGATGAATGTATCTCTTTGAATGTTAATAGAATACATTTGGGACGACAGAAAGGGCTGTAGCACTAAGGGTTGCAGGAGACAGAGCTGCATTCTACGGATGCAGAATTCGCTCCTACCAGGACACTCTCTTGGATGATGCTGGAAATCATTATTACAGAAAGTGCTACATTGAAGGAGCAACAGATTTCATATGTGGAAATGCAGCCTCTATCTATGAAGTGAGTTTCTCTAACATAACATGAGACACTTTCCTGGAGTGTATAAAATTTTTATGTACTAATGGCAAATTTATGTTTTCTTAGAGGTGTCGTTTGCATTCACTCTCAACACAAAATGGATCTCTTACTGCTCAACACCGGAGTTCTCCTTCAGAGAAGACTGGCTTTACTTTCTTGGGTTGCAAGATAACAGGCATTGGACATGCCTTCCTCGGAAGGCCATGGGGTGCTTATTCTAGGGTGATTTTTGCCCAAACCTACATTTCTGATGTGATAGTTCCACAAGGCTGGGATGACTGGCAAGACCAAAACAAGCATAGGTAAATACAATCATCTTCTATGTACCAAACTTGAAATTTTCTAGCTGGATTTCAGTGGGATGACAATTAATTACCTCTGTTTTTGTGTGGCAGTACTGTATATTATGGTGAATACAAGTGTTATGGTCCTGGAGCTGATACATCAAAAAGGGTTCAATGGTCACAGAGTCTATCAGAAAATCAGGCTGCACCATTCATGACCATAGACATGATTGGAGGAAGAAGTTGGCTCAGACGTACACCAAGCCATTTCAAAAGGTTCACTGGTTCCATTGCCAGCGTGATGAACGCTAATGAAAATGACTAGATTGGATTGATATTGGGTTATGCTGCTCAATTTAAGGGTAAACGTTGATTGATTTAGTAATATACAATGAATGCCACCTCTTTAATAGACATTTAGATGATGCCCAAAAAAGGAAGAAATATTTACGTGTAATATTCAGTAAGAGAACATTGAAATTTTGTTTGTGAAATTTCAGGGGTCTTTATTTTTTTGATATAGAGTATGGTATTCCACTGCACACAGTACATATATCTCGACTGAAACACAATACAAAATTGGAAAAACCTGAAAAAACCTGCCATTTGCGGAAGTCAAACACACAACCTCAAGGTCTTTTGGGTTTCAAATGACTTTTTAAGCTTAGAAATATCATTTGATATATCAACAACAATATATTTTATATACTTGCAATGAAGTAAAAGCAAATGCAAAACAATCAAGTAAGCAATGTTGATTGAAGTTTGAACAGGCAGTTCAAGTGCAGAAAGGTAAACCACAAAAAGCAAAGCTACATTCTGAAGAAAAGGAGAAAAGCAAACATATTAAAACCAACACTTTTTCTTCAAGGAAAAGCTCAAAAATTCAGGATGGTCCTGTTTGGTTTTATATGTGTAATGTATCTTATCTAATGCTTATAATTAATTTATAAATTCCTACTATTCTACGTAAATCTCTTCAAGTTTAATATTACTCTTAAAAGTCCCTCTCATATGTTGCTTCCAAGCTTTCATCTTCAACCTCTTCTCCCTCTACCTAATTCAACAACACCACAAACTAAGTTCAGTCTCTATATATATAAAGCATAGTGCTTAGATTCGACTGCACATTGAACCAAAACATATTTCAAACAAAAAAAGGAATTCAGAAAGTTTAAGCAGACATGATGACAGTGTCAAAA